ATTGCTTGTGGTTGGGCATGTTGTGGACACACAACCCCTTGCGTCTGCCTGGGTGGGCGTGGGGGCTTCGTTAGACACCTCATTCACAACACCAAGCTTTTAAATTTTTTTTTAAAAAACAAAAATGTTGTTTCTTTCTGTTGTGTTTTTAAAGATGTGAATGACTTGCCAGTGTGGGACCCCGGGTGTGTTTCTTGCGTTGTGGGTGTTCCGGGTCCCGTCACTGTGTTTTCATAAGGGCTGCAGCCGCTGCCTGGCGAATGGAGGATAGAGCTGAATTATATTAATTTTATATTTTACTCAGGGGGTCAGCTCTGTGGGTTCCATTGCGAGAGGGCAGCTGATGTGTGCCTTGATAATGAATGTACCTTTTGGAAATGTCTTTTTATGTGTTTTGTTTTATAATGTGTTTTTTTTAAAAAAGAAATAATACCTCTTTTTTAAATAGTCTAGTGAATGTTAACCTGGAGTGTTCCCCCCCCCCCCGGCTTGTTCTTATACTAGCACAAATGTCATGCCAAAAATGAGTAGAAATTTAAATGCCAAAATGTTTATTAAAAACTGCTGTCTAATACTGATGGATTGCACAGTTTAAATAAAAGTTTCCTTTAGTAAATGGCAGCTTGTTTTTGTTTTTTGTTTGTTTTTTGCCCCCGGGAGGAATAATATTCTCTTCAGTTTGGTCTTTATTGAGTCTAGCACCGTGGGAGATTTCCGAGCCCTTCTCCCATCCAGGACCTGCCAGAGGCATTGCTGGCCGAGGGCGATGGGCCCTGTAGTCCAACCTCTTTGGGAGGTGCCAGCTTGGGGATGTCTGGGCTTTGTGTGGCATAGCGTTCAGGAGGGCCAAGGGGCTCTCGGCCAGGGGAGGGTTTCGGGCCCAGGGGATGGGGCCCCACCTGGGTTTGCGGGCATCCACTCAGCAGCCACATTTGAGGCCGTGCTGTCCACCCCTCTGCCGCTGCCCCCCCCGACATGCCCCTTCCCCGGCCTCTGCAAAGGGGTTCGGGAGGGTGAGCGGGCGCCCCGTAGCCTTCTGCAAAAGAGTGAGCATTTCATCCACAGAAGAGGGTTTCGGGCCCAGGGGATGGGGCCCCACCTGGGTTTGCGGGCATCCACTCAGCAGCCACATTTGAGGCCGTGCTGTCCACCCCTCTGCCGCTGCCCCCCCCGACATGCCCCTTCCCCGGCCTCTGCAAAGGGGTTCGGGAGGGTGAGCGGGCGCCCCGTAGCCTTCTGCAAAAGAGTGAGCATTTCATCCACAGAAGGTGTGCAGTGCAGTGCCTGCTCCCCGCATCTCGTGAGGATGGGTGGGCGTTTGGGGGTTCTGTTTGCTGCAGTGGAGGTCATTTTTTTGGGGGTGGTACTTTATTTTATTCACCTGATTGTTTTATTTACCCTGGTTGTATTTAAAATAAACCTTATTCTTTTATTGTTTAAAAATCCATCCCTGGTCT